TTTAAGAAATAAAACGCAGACCGGCATTGATTAATGTTATTTAAGCTATAAAAACTCAAATCAAAGTACCTAGGTAAGCAAAATGTGAAATAAAGGTAATATGGAATGCACAAACCTCGTGTATGCAGATTCTATTTATAGATTTTGGCTCACTGTCTCGCCGACTTGTGACGATCTTGAACTTGTACGATTGACTGTTATATGTTATATCGATTGAAAAATCAACTTATTTTTCCAATAAGGCACTGTGTTTAACATCCGTATCGAAGGACCAATGAAAGAATGCACAATCACTCTTTGAAATACAATGAAACGGAAGTTGATAATATAACTCTAAAATTTATTAATACTCTTAAATATCACATTAATCAAAATACACAAAAAGTAAAAATAAAACAAAAAATAAAAATATTACAAAATTGGATGAATCTTACATTAGTAAAATTAATTGATGAAAAAAATAAATTGTACAAATTAACCTTAAAACATCCCGATAATTTAGAAACAAAAAGGCAATACAATGTGCACAAAAATAAAATAAATAAATTAGTTAAAAAAGCAAAAAAGGACTATTATAGAAAAATCATCCAAAAAAATCAAAATTCCTCCAAATCTTTGTGGGAGTGCATTAACAAGGTTGCGGCAAAACGGCACCTAAAAATTAAATTAAATGGAACTGAAATTACTGACAAATTGAATATTGCAAATGAATTTAATACATACTACTGTGAACTAGGCTTAAATTTAGCTGAAAAAATACCAAAAGTAACAAATTATACAGAAAATAGAAATTGCTTAGAAAGTACTATGTTCCTTAGTCCTACTGATGAGGTTGAGGTCATTAATACAATTAAATATTTGAAACTTAAGAAGTCACCAGGCCTCGATTGTATAAGGTCTGAAACATTAAGGGAAATATCTAATGAGATTGCAAGTCCACTAACATACTTAATAAATAAATGTTTTAGTACAGGCTCTTTTCCGAAAATTCTGAAAAATGGTCTAGTTAAACCACGGTCGCGTGTATCTGTGAGATACAAAACGCCAGGCAATTTCAAAACCACTTATATGTACCAGGAATGTTGCGGACGCTGATTTTTTCACATCAGCGGATGTGAAAGCGGATTCGGATTTTTGAAGGCTCTCATCCGCGGATGCGGATGTTTAAGATCCTATATAGAAATAGAATATGAAAACGAATGAAGAATTAAAACAATGATAAAGTATTTATTAACATTTTTATTAATAAAAATTAGTATTCTATTATATATGTAATGTATGTAATACATACTATGTATTCTATGTATAATGCTCCTATTTTAACTTAACTAATTTTCATATTAATAAAGAGTAATATTGCCGCCTTTTCCAATTCAAGACGGTTACGCAGAGGTTCGTAAATTAAACCCACGATACTAAATAATTGTTCGCTAGGATCACTGCCTGGTGGAATGGATAAAAATCTTCGTGTTATCGGTGATAATATCTTGCATTCCTCTCGATGAACACTCCACCATTTAAGAGGATTTTCATCCTCATTGACTCTTTTTTGGTGCGGTAAGAAAGTAATTCCTTTTTGAGTACAGCTTCAGGGCTACCATTTTCTGGTATTTCTTGAGTCTCATCTTCACTTGACGAATCTAACATCATAGCAAGGTCGTTTTTTAAGCTTGGCTTCCTGACGAAACTTGATGGTCCTGGTCCTAGTTGTTCCATATTCTTTTCCGTGGAATCAGTCATTCTCATTCTTTTAGTCCCTTCGGCATTGGCAGTAAGAAAACCGAAAACGTCATTCTCAGTATTTGTCATCCTCAAAATGTCGTCTTTACAGCCGGTTGCACCATTGCATTCTAGAATCAATTCTAATCCTAGGTCGATCCTAGGATCAGAATAAGTTTTAAATTGTTGTACCAACCGTAAATCAGAGTTTTAGGTCAAATCGGTGTCTCGCATCTCAGGTCACCAATATTGTCATTCTAGGATGCAGAATTAGGAATTTTAACCTCACTTTTGAACTATAAGGTGACAGCATATTTTTCAACATAGTAAAATGGATGTAGATTTAGATTTTTTGGTTGATATAGTAGATAATGTTGACATAAACATAAGAAATAATATACCACGTCATATATAGGAACGTACAAATTATTTTGAAACTTATTCTGAAACAGAATTTTTCAAGCGTTTTCGTCTTCAAAAAAGAACGGTTTTACAAATATTAGAAAGAATAGAACACGAACTAGAATACCCACATAATAGGTAATTATATAATTTAGAACTACATTTTGAATTTTACCTAAATCGTTATTTTTTTTTAGAAATAATTCTTTGACACTAGTAAATCAGTTACTTTTAACACTGCGTACTTTTGCTACTGGTAGCCATTTGTTATCTTCGGCAGATTTTATAAAATGTGATAAGTCAACAGTTTCCAGAATAGTAGCAAAAGTATCTCGTGTATTAGCAAATTTATCCGCGGAATACATATATATGCCTCGAAATGAATTGGAAATTGCTGAAGAACAAAATAAGTTTTTTGACATCTCCGGTTTTCCTCGTGTTATTGGAGCAGTAGATGGTACCCATATACGAATATTATCTCAAGGTATAATTAATAAATTATACATTAACATGTTGTACTTTTTATTTATTTTTACAGGTGAAAATGATGCTGAAATTTTCAGGAACCGAAAGGTTATTTTTCAATAAATGTACAAGCAGTTGCTAGTGCAGATTTGCTTTTTAAAGATATAGTAGCTAGATGGCCTGGCTCAACTCATGACGTTACCATATTTAATAATTCTAGACTTAAAGGTCGCTGTGAAATGGGTCATTTTGGAAATGGAATATTGTTAGGTAATATAATACTAATTATAAAATTATGATTTTTTTGTTTGTTTTTATAGGTGATAGTGGCTATCCATGCGGATCTTATTTATTCACACCATTCATAGAACCTAGAAATCCAGGCGAAAGAAATTATAATATAAGCCATATAACGACTAGAGTAAAAGTAGAAAATTTATTTGGTGTATGGAAGAGGAGGTTTCCAATTATGGCATATGGCTGTAGAATGAAATTGGAAAATATTTTACCAGTAATTACTGCAACAGCTATCCTACACAATATAGCTCGAATAAATGGGGAACCAGAACCTCCACAAGAAAATGTTATGGATCATGAATTACAAGAAGCTTTAAGGGATGGAAATATTCTTATAGCAATTGATGAAAACCTTCGAAACTTCGACCACAGAAGATATTTAGTAGAAACTTACTTTTCTCGTTTATAATACTCTGTTTAATAAAAGTATGGACATAAAATATATTTTTTTTTTAAGTTGCCATGTTGAAGGCTATATATTTGCATTGTACCATTCAAAAATGTAGTACCAGTAATTAGTCCAAATTTCTAGATTTACCTCAAAAAATTACAGAATGTACAGATGAACAATGTATTTATTGTAAATGTAATGTAAATATTTCTGTTACAGATTTTTCTATTAAATACAAAATGTACATTAGATTAGATTAGGAGTTGGACGTTATTTGTCCCTGTCCACCGCGACCTTTTCAGATCTATTGTGGGACTCCGTTTGTTTTAGAGTATGTCGTCTAGCCTGGTCTTTTTTATTAGACTTAGTAGCTTTGACAGTGGCTCCCGCATGTAGTTACATGCAATTGGCTTTTCTTCGCCCAATGTTAGAAACCTCATTCCAGCCAAGCCTTCACATTGGCACAGGACGTGGAATGATGTTTCCTCTTCTTCTTCGCAGAACCTGCACAAAGTTGCTTCTTCTGCTGGATTTATGACACTCATGTGCCTTTTGAGGCAACAGTGTCCAGTAAGAAGGCCTACTGTTATCCTAACGATTTGACGTTTTTGATCCAGTAGGTCTTTCGTAAACTTGGCCGATGGTTCCTTGATGAACTGTTTGGCCTGTCTCAGTCTTGGATAGTTGTTCCACCATTCCTAAGACTCTTTTTGCATCCATTGTTTAATGGATGCCTTGCATAATGCCTTAGCGACTCCACAAAAGGGTTCAGGGCCTGTCATGGCCTTATCTGAGCCTTCTCGGGCTAATTCGTCGGCCTTTTCGTTGCCCTGATATCCCTCATGGCCTGGAACCCAGGCTAAGGTCGCCTTATTTTGACTACTTAGCTCTGTCAGGTCTTCTAGACAGTCTTTCACCAGTCGTGATTTGATTTCTGGTGAGAGAATTGCCTTTAGAGCTGCTTGGCTATCAGAGTATATGGCAATAGTTTTGCCTGATACTTGCTGATTTAATATTTCTCTTGCACAGTGTTGTATGGCTATTAGCTCAGCCTGGAACACTGTTGCATATTTTCCTAAGCTTAGTGAAATCGTTGATTTCGACTTAGGTCCATAGATTCCAGCACCGGCTCCTTCCTTGGTTTTTGAACCGTCTGTGTACCAGACGAGTTCAGCCTGTACGGGAGGTCCCTGTTTCCAGGATTCTCGGGCTGGTATTTGAATTTGAAAATTTCTTTCAAATTTGTATGTGGTTATGGCTCTATCAGTAGGCATAGCTAGAATATTATCCCTTTGTACTTGCTGATATAGCCTTGTGTGGTCGGCGCTATGCAGTTGGCTTATTGGGTTTTGTCCCTGCATTAGCCTGTGAATAGCTGACCTGGTTTCTCCTTGTATGAAGATGTGCAATGGCGTGAGATTTAGTAATACCTCCATTGCTGCGGTCGGCGTAGTGCGCATGGCCCCAGTAGCACTTAGACAGGCAAGCCGCTGAATGCTAGTGAGTTGGCCTATTGCACTTACCTGCGCAGTTTTGGTTACCCACGCCACTGCGCCATAGGTTATCATGGGTCTTATTACCCTTGTGTATAACCATATGGTCATTTTGCACATAAGTAATATTTTTATTTTTTTATCTTTTAATATACAAAATAAAATGCGTGTAGAAGAAAATAAATTATATTTATTTATGAGAACAATTCAACATAAAACAAGATCACTGTTTACCTATTTATAACAAAAACTAAAGAAAAAATTATATAATTTAAATTTGCAATTTTTCCTCTTCCAATTTAAACATTTTTTCTTGTGCTCATATTCTAGGTCAAATAATTTTTTTTTCATCTCTATTTCCTGTAATATTTGATCCCTTTGGGCATGTAAAACTTCAATCTTTGCCTTTTCAACAGGACCTATCTTCTCCAATTTTGGTCTCCTTTTTGCTGACCATCTAGGTTTCTTCTCATTTTTTTCTGATTTTTGTTCTTCAGTCGGCAGAGCTAAATTTTCCGTATTGGCATTGGAAAGTACTTCAGAAGCTCCTATTATATTCACACTTGAAATTTCATTGATGTTTACAATTTCTGGTTCTATTGGTTCTAAAAAGCACCAAATAAAATAATAGTTTATTAAAAAGCCACTTACATATTTGTATAAAGCGAAAAAAGTTTTAACTCACTTATAACTATTGCATCGGAGTCATAGGGATTCTCTAAACCGGTTATAATTTTATTATTAACTATTGACAATACTAAATCATCATTATTAGTACTACTGCAACTACCATTCTTTAATGTACCTCCTCCGATTGTGTACATTTCTTGCCTTTCTAACGCGGCTTTTTTTCTTGTTTCCATTTTAATATGGGCCCATTGCTTCCTTAAAGAACTAGCGTCTCTGTAGACATTAACATTTTTGGAATTAAATAATTTTTCTATTGCTTTCAAAGTTTGATCTTTTTGTAGATTGCTTCCTGCGTTAGTCTCCTTATTTTCAATAATGTCTTTATATTTTTCTACCAGTTCTGTTAGTACTCTCCTCTCCTCCAATGCATAATTAACACGTTTATTTTTATCATACATTTTGATAAATGTAATGTACCTATACAATACAACAGAAAGGTATCTGTGTATTTTTTATGTATTTAACTCTTAAAACTTCGATTGTGACCGTATTTAATTATACAATTAAAAAGTCAAGCTGACACAAAGCCTGACAATCAAATTCAAACCAAAATAATCATTAGTAATAATAAATTATTCTTCTTTATCATGGCAATTTGGCTAATTTCGTATAAATTACAATGTTGTCACTAGTTCATGAGTTAAAATGAGTTTTAGATAAAATGTCGCCTAGCAATAATGGTGCAACATAAATAGGTTTTAAGTCGTTTCTACATTTAGGTCAGACCTGCCTAAAATTAATTCTACAAATGATTGGTGCAACCGGCTGTTAATCTTTTATCATATTTTTCGGGCAGTGTCTAACTACAGGGGCGCCCCGGCACCTAGACTTTCGTTCTATATACAGGAGCGTGTTTGTTTTTGACGTTTAACCTGGTTAAACTTATAACTATCAATAATTATTGTAGATTATAATTAAACAAAAAGATGATATTTATTTAAACAGAATATTTTGCAATGATAGTAATGATAAGTATTGAAATAATGGCAATAATTAGTGCTAAAAGTGGTCCACAATATAACGAGTGATCTATAAAAACGTTTTCAATGTAGGCCATGGCTGACAAAGAGGTATAAGAGACATGTTCGCAATAACTACATACGCCTATAGATTTAAAACAAAAAAATAATTTTTCGCTCGACCACCCAATGCCAAAACAGGCTGCCACACAACAATTTCAACAAAAAATGGCTTTTTCGAGTGATGATAATGTTTAACAGCAGTTTATATTGATTGATAATTGTAAAAAATTGAGGTTTATGTGAGGGTGTATGGCATTATTTTAGTGCAAACGTTTAAATATTTGAAGCAGTATCCTGTTTAGCAGGATACAAGGAGGAAAAAAGCAACAACAAAATATAATATATAAGTTTATTGTTTATTGTATATTGTTATTTTAACCGTTTTCATTTGTTTTTCTTTTTTAGACCAATAACTGTATTAAGAGCACCTTTCTGTCTACCAATCTGTTTGAATTTGAAACTTTTGTATTGAATGCAGTCTAATGGTACATCAAACCCAATTTCTGAGTCATAGGTAAAATCATCAGTAATTATTTCAGTTTCAATTGTGTCTTCAATAAAGATGTTACAATCCATCTGGTTTTCATGTTGAATTTTATTTTGAAATGTCTTATTTTGCTTAACGTGTTCTAACTTGTTTGGTTTGTCAATGGTCGTAGCATAACTATGATCTGTTGAAACTGTTCTGAAACCAAAGGTGGATAAGGAGGCAATTTCATCATTTTCGTTTGCACTTAAATCATTTTCACAACTATGTGTATTTTCTACATTAACTTCACTAGAACAAATTCTGAATGTTTTTCCTTGCTTTATAAGGCTAAGAAAATTTTGCAACTCTCTATACTGCCACATAAATATATCCATTCCAATATCTGACATGCACCCAGCCAAATCTTGACACAAATCAATAGTTTTCCTGAATTTTTGATTATTTGTCAAGACAGAATTTATTTGTTTCTGTATTTTAATATTTGAAGATAAAGGGAAAGCAGATTCAAAATCAGAAGTTACATCTTCAACATGGTTCTTGCAAAATAAATGAAGTATATATGTTACCGTGAAACTCCGAAAACCGGTGATTGTCAGAATATACCAGTGAATGTCAACATTCACCAAGTTACTTGGCGTATGTCCGATATATTCATTAATTATCATTATTTCTAACTATCACCGGTGAATGTCAACATTCATCATACACTCATGGTGTATGTCTAAAAGAATTTTTTATAGAAAGAAAACAAACACACTTTATAGGTTATTCTTATTTTATTTTCATTAAAACATGGAAGAAGTTTTCAAATGAACATAAAGTTGTTAAACTTAAAACAAACACAACAAACATATCTAATATTAATATAAAAATAAAATCCATTTTATCTAAACTAAAATTTAAAAAAAAATGAAGTAAATGTATGGCCACCTTATTTATTGCAACAGCTTAAGCTACCATGACATTTTGAATTACACAAAAGGCTCTTATTTTTACAGCTACATTTAGACGTGGAACATTTCTTTTTGCAGTTACAGCGTGTATAGCCTTGCCCTCCACTTTTTGAATTAGCAGAAGCTGCTTGTCTTACCGAAATTTCTTCAGCTGAAATCTCATCCATGGAAATTAACTTTTCTTTGCAAATTGCAAACTGATTACGGGTGAAAAGCTGCTTCAGGGTACCATTTTTGTTTGCTAATTTATAAAAGTCTGAATCCTCTACTCCAACAACAATGGCTAACACATTTCGGGGATCTGTACGACCACGGTCGACGTCAGGGACTTTAATTCTTACGGTATCACCAATTTGGGCGGCAGGAAACTTTTTTTTAGAAGTTCGCAACATTTTTGTTGCTTGGAGTAGTAGATTCTCTTTTGCAGCTACTCTTTTTGAATTAATAAGCTCGTGCTGCATAGTCAGTGCTTGAGATGAAGGCGTAATCGGTTGTAGATCAGTCAATGATTGAGTTGAAGACGTGCTGGGTTGCGGATTAGTCAACACTTCATATGAAGGCGTAATCGGTTGTAGATCAGTCAATGATTGAGTTGAAGACGTGCTGGGTTGCGGATTAGTCAACACTTCATATGAAGGCGTCTTGGATTGCGGATTAGTTAATACATAAGGTGAAGGTGGATTGGTCTCAACCATGTTACTTACATCTGAAACATGGTCATCAATTAAATTTTCTTCACAAGTATTAACGTAAGCTTCTAGCTGTTCCTCGGTTTCAATATTTGTAATTTGCTCGTTGGGGAGAGATGACGATGCTAGGCCTCTTTTTGGTTTAACGCCAAACAAAGCTTCATAGGGACTTTGGCGTATTCCTTCATGGTAAGTTGTGTTTTTGGCGAATTGTACAAACGACAACCCTTCTGACCATTTATTTGAATCATTATCGTGCATCCACGCAGTTAACATATTCTGTATGTCCTGATTGGCTCTTTCGACTGAGCCTTGTGTTTGGCTGTGACGAGGCTTTCCGTGCACTATTTTAACATCTTTCCACATAGCGCATAGTTCAGATATGACTTGGTTACTGAACTCTCTGCCATTATCCGAATGCAATATAGCGGGAGCACCAAATATTAAAAAAATTTGAAGAAGGTGATATGCTACTTCTTCTGCTCTCTTGGTTTTTAACGGTCGTAACTGGACAAACTTGGTTAAGTGGTCTTGGTAAACCATTATAAATTTGTAATCGCCATCACTGTGTGATTGCAAGTCTATCAAATCGACTTGACATCTAGAGTTTAATTCGGAACTCACCATTGGTTTTACAACAATACCCTTTTTAGACGCACTGTGTTTCATTTGACATTGTTTACACAAATTTAAATACAGCATTACGACTTCATAAGTTATATTTTTGTATTTTACTTGCAATTCTTTCAGCATTCGTGTTCTTCCTCCATGGCCTGTTCGTATGTGAGTTTCGGAAAGTATACTGAACAACTCTTCGTTCGTAACATAATACTGGATATTTATTTCCCCTGGTTTTAATGGCACAATTAACTTTTGTTCGTCACTAACTTTTAAAATGTCAAAACGTTTTAAACGTCTGTAATCCAAAGGAGTACTGCACTTACTTTTAGCAGAAATTACTTCAGAAACGATTTTAGAGTACCTTTCTTGAGAAAAATAAAAACAATTGTCTTCTCGTTTACTTCTTATTAGGGTATTTAATTTTTCAAGAAATTGATCACTATTTACTGCAATAGCCATCGAGTACAAATTATATTACCGCTAACAATGAAACTTTTTGTAAGACTGGCGGGCGAGGCGACAAGCCCACACGAAAGCGAAGCGAAGAAACCACACAAAAGCCTGTTAGGACCTGTCGGTTCCGACATCGACCGAAACTTATATGTGTTTGTCGACATACACCGGTGAAGGGCCGAATTTATTATAAAACCAATAATTGTTCGGTCTTTCACCAATTCATTTGGTGTCTGTCGACATTAACCGGTGTATGTCAACAATCACCAATTTCGGAGTTTCACGGTAACATATATAAAAAATCACTCTTAATTAATAAGATGTGCCTACCCAGGGGCTGGTAACTCAAATGGAAAAACATGAGGACGGTAATTTAGTACCACTCCAATTAACGGGATGGCGCTCATATCGAAATGTCATGTCAGTTGTCAGCTTTTTGACACAATATTTCATATGATTTCATACTTGGAAAAATTAAAATGGCTGTCGCATTTGAAGGTGTATTGAATTTTGATTCATCTAGATTTATTTTTCAACACCTTCCAATTTTAAGCATGTTTTCAAGAGATGGGAACATGGATTTCAGCAACGAACAATGAAGCACTCCCAGATATTGGTAGTGATGCAATTTATAGCACGTATTAAATATGCGGTCGTCATATTAAGGATAAACATACAATTTGTAATAAGTGTCTTAAGAAAAACGCATCTTGTACTGGCATATCAATGGTAAGTAATATTTACAAACTTGTTTTTGATTCAGTGTTAAAATAATTGGTTTGTTATTTAAATTTCTTTTCGTTTTCAGTTTTTAAATGATCATTGTTATAAAAAAAATGTTGGCCCTTCAAAATACCCTGTAGATCGATGAAATATTTGAGCCTTAGCCATCAATATCAAAATTTGATTCAATGCCATTGACATCAAACAAGAAAACACCCCAAAATCTTCAAAGGTCCAAACGTGTGTAAGTTTAATTTAAGCTCGAAAGTTAAATTCATTTATCACAGTGCTCAGATGATGAATAAGAATTTGATAACTACAGGTGCTGTACAAATAAATCAATAAAACAATATCGAATGAAGAAATATTCCTCAACTTAACTAGTCGACTCAATAAGCATATGGCAAATTTTATCCACCCTCAAATTCGCCTTGATTGTAAGACACC